TTTATCTGTAATTATAGAGATACAAACTATAGGTTCATTACTCCAGTAGGTTGTGTCGATTTTTTTTTTTTCAAATATCAAAAAAGAGTAGTGAAAAAAAGTAAATTCATGGTTATTTAAATACAGGAAAAATTTAAAAAAAAAATTTTTTAAGTGCAAGCTTGGTAAATTTTTATATGAATTTTGGCACTTTTGGTCGTTTTTAACGTTTATCTTTTTTTTTTAATGAAATTGCACTGATAATTGTTTTTGTATCTGTTATCATGATGTATGATGTTCTCGATAAACGATAGTAAGTAAATATTGAATATTTAAAAATATATATTTATGTTTATTAAGCGCTGGTGTCACCTAATAGGCATTTTTACAAGGTAATGCCGTGGCTAGAGAGTTGGAGCCCCCCTCCCCAAACCGGTCGTAAGGACTTAAGGAAGTTCTGAAAAATCTTTCACACTCAAGCATTACTTAAAAAAAGAAAAAAAAAAGATCCTTTAATTTGAAATAGGTCCCTAAAATTGCTAGCCCCCCCCCCCTTCATTTAGGGTTTAGCTAGTCTTGTCAACCCAATTTTCTTTATTTTTATTGTAATATGCCCGCAAAAAAGATTATATAATGAGGTGGCATCTATAAAGTATGTACGCAGTAGAATTCCTGAAGCCTTCCTCATTTTTGTATGTATCTGTTACTTATAAAAAAAACTTCCTTCTGTCAACAATGCAAACTATTAAAAGTATTAAGTATACAAGTTTTTAACGAACACATCATTTTTTAACGACTTTAGCTACTCCACTTGCATTTGTACAAGATTTGTCATATCCTTTTTGCTTCTATTTCTTGACATTAAATCTCTACTTGCAAGCTGAGCACGTATATAAGATTCTCTTCTCTTGTGTGTGTAAACATGGCCTGCAGCTTCAGTTACCAATTTGACGCATTTTTAAACAGACTGTGTATGAGAAGTCCAAGGAGGAACTTCCATAGGGTAGTTTAAAAACTCTTTGATTGTGGCAGAGGTAAGATTGTAGGTAAGTGGTGGCTCAGTTACATTCAAGTTCCATGTTATGAGGTTAGCTTGCTGATCAGATTGAGGATTTATTTCAGGTGTTTTTCTTACTCTGATATTACTATATCTCCAACTTGAGTTACCTCATCTTCTCGAATTCTCCTCGAATCTTAAGAATCCTAGTTATAGCTTCTTTTCTTTCTTCTGTATTTTTGCTGCAAAGCATGGCTTGTAAAATTGCTTCAGAACGTGCATACCACGCTGATCGCCTAATTGTCGGCATAACAATATCTAAAACATTTTTACTTTGAGTTCTAAGTAGCTCAAGTTGATATAAAACATGTCTGGGACATGTTTTATATCAACTAGAGCTACTTAGTTAAACCAATTGGGTATGTAAACACTAACAATAAAATTTACAATCATTTGTAAATTTTCTAGATTTTCACCAGTAAGCCCATGATTTGACACCCAAATTCTGCAAAATCGAAGGGCTGTTGTTAGCCATCTACTGTGGCAGACTGATCCAATTTCCAGCATTGCTAACCTGTTAGGTAGAAATCCAGTCTTTATTGCTTGGCAAATTTGATAGGCATAACTTTGATCAGTGCTTAAATCCTTAATAATCTCCTGACTGAGATATATTAAAGGAGGACCTAAATTTATTTTAGTAAAGTTTGAATTAATTTCAATTTCAGTTGCTGTGTCAAGCATTTTCCCAAGTGGTCCAGACCATTTATTATAAGAAAGTGTTTTACCATCTAAATTTTCAATTAAATGCCTTAACCCTAACTCACCAGTGTGTAAATCACAAACAATCCAAACTAATCTTCTATTTAATTTTTTCTCTACCCATTGCATGACACCACCTGCCCAACCAGTATTAACATTTGTGCTATCTCCTCCAATAGCCATGAGATTTTAAATTTGATTTTTAGTTTTTAACCAGTCAACCAAGTAATCTGCAATAACTTCTGCTTTTTTTTTATTAGCTGTCACATCTGGAAAAAAATGGAAAAGATAGTCACCCCCTGGGTCTTTTACAACAGAGTAATGTTCCTCTTTAATAAGGCTAGGAAAATTTCTTTCATTTGCCTCTATAAACATTTTTGTAGCATCTACTCTTCCATCAAAAAAAAGGCAAGTAACCGGGTTATTTTCTAGGTCTATCTCAAACTGGTTGTTCTTTTGCTAATTTTTCTTGAGCCCTTTTGATTTTGTTATGATCTATAATAAGATGTAAATCACTCTTGCTTATAAGTTTTGCATCTATCAAGGTAGCTGTGGCTATTTCAGCTGCTTCTCTTAAACTTGTTTGATGTCTCATGCTAGCCAGTGCAATATTTTTGATTTTCATAGTATTATACATAGAAAAAGTTTGATTAAGGGGTGATTTACATTTAGTTTGAGTATCTACTTGGATTATGTTCTGCTCACTATTATCTTGAAATGTCATAGAGGAGCTATTTGCGTAAACTTTTTCTTGCATAACAGTTTTGTGACGTACATAATCCTAAAAAATACAAATATTTTATTTTTATTTTTAATCACAATCTATACTAAAATTTATGCAACTGTTTTTGTGTCATTCTCAAAATAATCAATAACTTATTTAACTCCACATCTGCTCAATTTCATATTTGTCCACAAAAATACAATATAGAATTTTAATTCAATCTTATAATTGTAATAAAAACCCACTTGAATACAGAATGTGAAGAAAAATACTGAAAATGAAATAAATACTTTGATAGCAACTAATAGTTTTAAACTTACTTCCCCCATATGTCTGAAAAGGAGATACATATTCATTTTCGTTCAGACAATCAAATTGTTCAAGTTTATCATTTGTTTTATCTGCCATAAAAAAAAAGTTATATGTTATAATAATTTTTTCTTTTTAAAATGATAAATGTTTGTATATATTATATTGTCGTACAAGTAAGTATTATTAAATAGCTACCTTTTTTTTCTTTATCATTGCTATTTTTTGTTGTTTTTTTTTCAATTTTTTTGGATTCTTTTCTATCTGCACTACCAATATGAAAAGTTCCAAAGCTTCCTATTTTAGTTCTCTGAGAATAAATAAATTGAAGCTCTACAATTGGTATTTTCTCTTCTCTCTTACATTTGCATTTTATATGAATTTTTTCCATACATCCTGAACCACATTTGTACTCTGAACAAAGAATTAATTTACATTTACACAGTAACATGTCCACAAGCTTGTCTAGTTTTAGAGAAAATCTTTCTTTTTCAGCTTTTTTTCCACGCCCATTACTAAAATCGACAGCAGATTTTCATAAATACTTGAGTTTTTTAAAAATTGTTTTATCATGGATTACAACTGGATATACAAAAAGGGAATTTGCCTTTAACCATGAACAGACCAAGAACAGTGGGTACCATATCAGTTACTAGCTGATCTAAAGTATAGTTCCTCTAATTTTGTTCACTGATTTCTCTTAAAAGTATACCATATCGTAAAATATCTCTGGCTGTTGGAAGCTCAGATACATAAAGTTCTTTTCCATTCCCTACAAGATTGCTCATTTTAATAAATAATGCATTCCTTGTTCTATTCGATATCTCTAATAAACTAAATATGTTTACCGGAGCTTTCCTTTTGGTCCGAATATGAAGTAAAATGAAAAGAAATGAATAGTTACACAATTTTGGTACTTATTTTAGCAAAACCAAAATAAGTAAAAATAAAATGAAAAGTTACCAAGCTAGCACTAAAATTATTTAATTTTTAAAAATATCACTCCTTTTAAAAAGTTATGAATTTTTAAATTTTTTCTACTCTTTTTTCTAAATTAAAAAAAGTGCACTTTATCATAAAAATCAACACACCCTATTACTCCAGCCATCTAAAGACATGACTACAATTTTCCCATTCAATACATTACATTTTTTAATTTCTTCTTTGTAAACCCTATCTAATATTTCTCCTCCAATTTCAGTTCAATTAGGCAGAGTGTATCCTGGATGAAGCATATTGATAAATTAAAAAAAAAAAAAAAAAAAAATCATGGATTAAAAAAAATATATCTATATTGAAGATTAGTTATATTTGTGAGCATAACCCTGCCTTAGTTTCCTGTTGTAAGCTCAAATCTTTTTAAAAAAACATTAGTTAGGTTTAAACCAACATTTTTTTAATTGGTTTAAACCATGCAACCCTGTATATATATATATATATATATATATATATATATATATATATATATATATATATATATATATATATATATATATATATATATATATATATATATATATATATATATATATATATATATATATGTATATATATATATATATATATATATATATATATGTATATGTATATGTATATATATATATATATGTGTATATATATATATATATATATATATATATATATATATATATATATATATATATATATATATATATATATATATATATATATATATATATATATATATATATATAAAGGGGGGATTTAATATAATTATTTTTTGAGCTCACTTATTTGTATAGTTTTTTAGGAGAAACTTATTTTTATGTCTGCATTTATAAATCATTTCCAATTTTTTGTTTAATAAACATTCTTGGTTCGCATGTATAGTTAATTCAAATTTTTATTGTGTTCAAGGGGTGTTCAAAAAAGTTTTTTTTGCAAAATGTGAATATACAAGAAACCAAAACTATTTAGGAACTTTTTTTTGTATTTGTATTTTTTTACATATGCTTCAAATTTGGCTTGTGTTTTTGAAAAAAAATTTCAAAATTTGCATTTTGAATTTTTTTTTTGAACACCCCTAAAGTGTAATATGCATTTTTTTGAAATATTATACTCAGATACTGTTTTAAGGATTTTTTTAAAAAAATGTTGAGCACACTATTTTATAGAATACATTTAATATTATTTTTATGTATGCATGTATTTATTTATTAAAAGTAATAATTTTATAATGATTTTATTCAATGCTTTTTTTTAAAAAATTAGAATACACCTCAAAAATGTCCTTATGGGTTATATGCTGAGCAGCTAAATGGAACTTCTTTTACAAGCCCTCGAACACATAATAAAAGAACGTAAGATCTATTAAATAATAATGTTTACAATACTATTAAATCAAATTACCATTTTAAGTAATCCTTATGATAAAAATTGTATCAATTATCAAATCTTGTTTTTTGTAATACAAGTAGTTCAACATATATACATACATAAATACATACATAAGCAGTGTGAGCTCACTACTCATGTATATATTTATGAATGTATGTATGTATGCATGTAATTAGGAAAAATGAGGTTGGCAAATTATTGCCGACCTCATTTTTCAATCAATTTTTTAGAGTTTGGCAAAAAAAATTGATACAAAGGTCTTACTATAAGACACAGAAACAAGGTCAGCAATTTTTTGCTGTCCTCAAACACTTCAAGGTTGGCATTGCTGAATGTTGACCCTAATTCCCTAATATATATGTATGTTTGTATGTATGTATGTATACGTGTGTGTATTTATGGATGTATGTATTGAATTTAAAAATAGCATTTAAGATATACAAATACAATAATTGAATAAAAGTAAACAAAAAGTTTGAATGATTTTTAATTATAAAATTATAAAATCCAACTTAAATTAACAATCCTTTGCACTTTAGGGTTAGTTTAAAGAAAAAGTAAAATGCTTTTTAATGTTGATAATTGTTATTTAAAAGGGATGATTTTGTTCAAAATAGAAAATGTTCCAGATAACCAAAAGTTAAAAAAATCACACACAGAAAAAACAGAAAACATTTGAAAACTTTTAGTTTTTTTTTTTTTTTTTTTTTTTTTATACTTTCACCTCGTTCTGCTTGTTATTTCTAGAATTATGGCACAAAAAAACTGAACATTTTAAAAATCATTTAATACCAGCTTGATTTTCAATATTTAATAGTAAGTTGTAGCTTGATAAGCTACAAGGTTGCTACTAAACTACTATCATCTTATTGTAATTAAAACTATCATTTTACTTGTAATTAAAAGTGCTGCATGGAAAGTACATAAATTAAACATCCAAAAATGTTTATAATGTTTTGACAAAAAAAAAATCTTAATGAATATCCAATGACATCAAAAGTCAAAAAAACCACATAGCTAAATAACATCAATCAAGCTTTTTTAATAAAGCCAATTTATAACCCATGTCTTTTCTTCTTTTTTTTCCTTTTAAAAATGTTTAAAACTTTGAAAATTATTGTTTTCAGATGGTTTTATCGAATTCTTCCATCTGTTAAACATAAACCATTTGAGCCATATAATATGGGAAATTTTAATGGTGACTGGAACAATCGATTTCCTAACCCTAATCAGGTATTTTCTTTGTATTTTTTCCAGATTCTTTTAAGACTAATAAATTTTTTTTTGAAATATATTAGGTTTTAAAATGCATGATTAATCAATGATAAACTAATTTTTATATCGCAATTATTTTGTCATCAAGAAGAATATTAATTTTTTACTTTTACTTTAATAAATTAAACTTTTAATTTCCTTTAAGATTAAGTGGGATCCTTTTGAGCTACCTGAAGATCCTATAGATTTTGTTGATAGTCTCTCTACTTTGTGTGGTTCTGGTGATGAAAAATCACGCCATGGGTTAGCCATACATATATATAGCTGCAATAAATCAATGAATGATAAGTAAGAGTTATTTTTCTTATTTTTAATTTTATATTTAAATTTACTACTTTCCATTGCAACAGAAATAATTGTGCATTATTAGTAAACACTCTCTACTGCAACAGAGATAGTTGTGCTACCATCATTAGTAAACAAGTATAACATTTGATTGTATGTTCTTCATTATTGAAAAACTCTTTTTTTTATTCAGATGCATGTATAATGCTGATGGAGACTTTTTGATCGGTAATAAATATTTTAATTAATGATATTTTTTTTAGTTTATAATTTAACATTTTGTTGAGATTCAATGTGTTGACAAGATTAAATTTGTTCTTAAATTCTTTTTTTTTTTTTTTTGCATAAATTTAAAAGGATATATCAAATCCTTAAGTTTAAAGCTCATCAGACAAAACATCGATTTTAATTAGATAGTTTTCTAAAACAAACAAAGAATTCATTACAAAAAGAAAGATTTAAAGAAGCAGATATTGAATTGGATATTACTGACTGTTCAACATTATACAACATTTGAAAAGTTTAGGTTAATGCTCCCTAATTTTTTGAGTAGCTTTTTTAGATTTACTATTTCTATTTAGATCAATATAACACTATCACTAAAACCAATTAAATTTTATATGCAAGTACAAGTGTTTTGTTTCTTCAATATATAACTATGCCTTAACAGAGCTTTTTTTATTTTTTATTTTTTAAATCTGCACATTAAAAACTCTCCCGAATGTACTTTATAAATTACAGACCATTTCTCATTCAAAAAAACAAATTTTTAAAAACAGTTGTTCCAACAGCATGTTCACAGTAAGTTCCATCAGGTTAAGTGTACTTATGTTCATTGGATAGAGTGTTCACAGCAAGTACATTGGGTAGATTGTTCATGGCAGGTTTGTTTGGGTAGAGAGAACTCTAGGAAATAGAGAAACATAGAATTACAATTTTTTAATGTCATCCCAATAAACAACTTTTTTAATGTTTTAGTGACATTTAACAAGCTGTTGATGTATTTTTTTACAAAAAAATATTTTACAAATTAACAATTTGTTTTTGGTCTTAAAAACACCTTTTTTAAACAGATATTGATTTTAGATATATTTACTGATCTATAGCATACTTTTCTGAGTATCTTGTATATTAACTGCAGCTGAAAATTCTTTTTTTTTTTTTTTTTTTTGCAGTGGCTGAGAAAGGAGTGCTTGGCATAACTACAGAATTTGGAAAACTTTTAATTCAGCCAGAAGAAATATGTGTAATTCAGGTGAAATTGTTATTTCTAATTTCAATTTTATGTATATGAAAATAAAATAGTTTTAATTAGAAAAAGTTTTTAAAAATTTCATTTGTCAGTTTTTAGTTTGTTTGTTTTTTTAGTATTTTTTCTTAGGTTTAACCTATTATGCTTTTCTTGTACAATTATTTTATGTGTAAGTATTTTTACCCCCTTTTGTTCATTTTAAAGTAAATTTTTTTTTTCTTTAGCAAGGCATGCGTTTTTCAGTGCATGTAGAAGAACAATGTAGAGGTTATGTGTGTGAAGTCTATGACAATCATTTTGTTTTACCTGATCTTGGTCCTATAGGTTAATTTTTATTGATTTAATTTTTTTTTGACACTCACTAATAAGTTATTTGAGATTTTACTGTTATAAAAAACAATATTATTTTTAAGGTGCTAATGGTCTTGCCAATCCAAGAGATTTCCAAACTCCAGTTGCTTGGTTTGATAAAGATTATTTTAAACCAGATGGCTTCAAAATCATTGCAAAGTATCAAGGCAAATTATTTAAAGCTGAACAAGTTTGTTTGTTTATTTATATTATTTTACTTTATGGTTAAAATGTTAAATGTTTTTTAAAATTAAAATGTAAACCAAATATTTTGTCTTACATTTTTACTAGTGGTTGAATGGCACCAGGTTTTGACTAGATATAAGTTGTTTGATGTACTTGTTAAAAATTATTATGTTATGATTACTTGTACTCAATTATATTATCTATGAATTGAAAAGTTTAATAACTAGATATATAAGTTTTAAATTTTGATTACTAGAGAAAAAAGAAATTTGAGAAGAGGGAGGGGAGTATGGCTCAAATATTATAAATGTAATAAAAATATGTAAATGTAATAAAAATTATATTTTTAAGGATCATACTCCTTTTGATGTTGTTGGTTGGCATGGAAATTATGTACCATACAAGTATGAACTAAAGAAGTTTAATGTCATCAACACAGTGTCTTTTGACCACATTGTGAGTCAATTTATTAGTTGATTTGGTTGATGGCATTATTTTATATATACTTTTTTTATAAAGTTTTTAAAGTTTGCTTACAACATTAGGATCCATCAATTTTTACTGTTCTAACATGTCCAAGCTTGAAACCAGGTACTGCTTTGTGTGATTTTGTCATTTTTCCGCCTCGTTGGTCTGTTGCAGAAAATACTTTTAGACCACCATATTATCATAGTAAGTTTCATTTATAACATTTTTAAAAATAAAGTTATTATGATGTTTTACAATAAGTTAATGCAATAAAGAGTTTTTTTTAAATCTTTTTTTTTTTTGTGTGTTTGAATAATATTAGGTTAAGAAAAAAAAAATAAAGTATACTCATTTTATTAAATTTTAGGGAACTGCATGACTGAATTTATGGGAGTATTGAGTGGACAATATGAAGCAAAAAAGGTTTACTTAAACTTGATGTTGATTTTTCTAAATGAATATTTATAATTAAAATATTAATATCTTAAAACGATGTGCATTGAGATAAGTCTTACCTAGTTTTATTAAAGCCATAAGTACTATCTAAGCCAGTGATGAATGAATTTTTTTGAACTGCTCAAATATCCTGAGTGTTATCAGTGATAAGTGAGAATTTTTTTGAACTGAATAAAGTAAAATATAAACTTTTACTTATATTTTGATTATTATTAATATGTAAATTTGTGACAGTATGTAGCTAATTATTTTATTTTTTTCATATGATATATGCATTGAAGCCCTCATCTATTCCTGTTTCAGTATGATGTTATTAGTGACGTTGCATGTGCAACTAAGCTTACATTATTTAATAAATGTGTTTATATATAACAGGTTTGAACAGGAATGGCGTACATGTGTGCGCTGTAACTGGCCATGCTTATAATTTTTTTTCTTTACAATTTGATCACAGGGTTTTTTTGATATTTTAACAATTTAAATGCTATAAAAAAAATTGTTACATTATGAATATCTTTTAATTGTTGATCTTTTTATTTAAGTTTTTATTTTATGCAAAGGCTTTAAATAAAACAAAAAATTAATTATAGCAATTGTTTAAAATAAATGTATTTTATGTAAATTAACAAATGATGTTATATTTAAATTTTTTTTATGTAGGCATGCTTTTTTATGATAAATTTAAACATTTGAAACTATTTTTCTGTGTCTTTCTAAAAATCTTTTGAAAGATGATTTTTTAAGTTACTTTAAATAATGAATAAGTTAAATTAAATCTTCTGTTGCAATGGAATGATTTAATTGCTTTATTTTTTTGTTTCTATTTTTACAAAGAATTGTTTAAAACCTTTTTTTTTTAACTTGACTAACTGATCAGAGCATGAAATGATTAAAAATTACTATTTTAAATAGTCTACTGTATTTTTAAATTTTTTTTTTTTTTGCAACTTTTTGGAAAAAATGTTTAAATGTTTTAAATAACTTTAATAACGAAGAGATATTGTTGAAGAAATATCTTTAAATGCTACTTTAAAAGATCCTCATTTTTGTTGTAGTTGATATCTGTACACATCATTTCTTTTTGAAACGATGTGATACAGATATCACATCGTTTCATAAACAACAAACGAAAAAATATGAGAAGTTTTCCCTCGCAAAGCTTTAGATTTAATAAAAAATTAAAATAGCTCATTTAGTTTAATGAAAATCGCCGTGTAAAAGAACTTATAAGTTCTTATATGCTAAACTTGTAAGTTCTTCAACGCTAAACTTATTTTAAAAAAGTAATCTTATAAGATTACTTACTTTTTCAAAATAAGTTTAGCGTTGAGTAATTTATGGCCAATCACTGAGACTTTCTTTTTCTTTTAAAAAAAAAAACTTCCACCTGTGTTAAATGCATTATAATAATTTTTTTTCACTTGCATCTTAAGAATGTTTTTTATTGTTATTTTTGTTTGACAAAGTTAAAATAATTTTTTTTTACTGAAAAACGATTATTTTAGCTTTGCACTTTCTTGTAGCAACAGACTATAAGATAATCGATGTAGCAGCACTCCCTTGTAGGAACAGGCTATAAGATAATTGATGTAACATCACTCCCTTGTAGCAACAGGCTATAAGATAATCGATGTAGCAGCACTCCCTTGTAGCAACAGGCTATAAGATAATCGATGTAGCAGCACTCCCTTGTAGCAACAGGCTATAAGATAATCGATGTAGCAGCACTCCCTTGTACCAACAGGCTATAAGATAATCGATGTAGCAGCACTCCCTTGTAGCAACAGGCTATAAGATAGTTGATGTAGCAGCACTCCCTTGTAGCAACAGGCTATAAGATAATCGATGTAGCAGCACTCCCTTGTAGCAACAGGCTATAAGATAGTTGATGTAGTAGCACTCCCTTGTATAAGATTGATTTAGCAACACTCTGCGGATTTTTTACAATAAAAAAAAAACATTCGAAATTTTTTTAAAAACATTCCAGTCTTTTAATTTTTGTTTTTGTAATTTTTAAAAAAACAATTAATTTTATTAGTTTCCTCAAATAATTTAATGCGTTTTGTTGAAGTTTATTAAAAAAATTTTGGCTCATAACTCTCTGCCTGAGTGAAAAGGGAGTGAGTTCACAGAAAACCTTTTAAATTTATATTTAGCATCAGGGGCAGAAGTTAATAGCAAATATTTCACCCATCGCTTCCTTAAATTGGAATAAAGTTTATTATATGGGCCTTTGCTTTTAATCACAATTATAGCTTTGTAAACATGTTTAATGGTAATGTCTACACATTAACCAAAGCAGTAGTTTTTTTAAAATTCTTTTTAAAATCATAAATGTTCCATCCAATATGCCTGTATTTGTAGCAGTAGTGTCTGTACAAACTGCAAAAACCTGGTTGAGTACTTCAAAATACTGCAACAGATTTTGTATAACTAAAACTTGATCAAGTAAAACAAAACTCATTAAACTAAAATGCTTGGTCTATTTATTTTACGCATTAAAAAACCTTTTCAATCTTTGTTTCAACATTTTTTTATATTTTTTATTTATTTAATATGTTCAAAAGTTAAATATTTCTCATAAAAAATACATAGTTATATAAATAAAATAAAAAAATATTTTATTAAAACTTTTTTTTAAATTAATTAGAAGTGCTTTTTTTTTACTTATTAAATTGTAACGGTTTTCTAAAACTCTTTTTTTTAACAAAATTTTGTTTATCTTTTTAAATGCATTAACTTTAATCATTCTTATATTTAAATTTGTTAAATATAAGAATGATTAAAGTAGTTCATTACATAGGCAGTAAACATGTGATCTCTGTAACTGATCCTGATTAATGCCTTCTAAACATAAACTTGCTTTTTTGCAATTGGTTTCACTTCCAGGCCAAAATCAGCTAAAAGGTTATATATATATATATATATATATATATATATATATATATATATATATATATATATATATATATATATATATATATATATATATATATATATATATATATATATATATATATATATATATATATATATATATATATATATATATATATATATATATATATATATATATATATATATATGCGGTAGTGGTGTAGTGATAGAGCGCTCGCTTCATAAACGAGTGGTTCCGAGTTCGATCCCCACCACGTCCCTGGTAGTACCGCGCTCAACTCGTTTCTCTGCGCAGCGGCCTTGTTCGTCAAGGTTCGTGTTTCGGAGTTATAGAGTTGAGAGAGGGTTATAGCCACAAATAAGTAGCCTCCTCGTCTGTAGTGGCCTTCTCGGCCTTGAGGAGGTGAGTTAAAATTAAAAATATATATATATACACAAATATTCTTTTTTTATTGAAGATATTTGGTTTTTTTTATTTGGGGTTTTGTTAGGTCTCAAATGAAGTGAAGTTATAGAAAAAAGTTCAAAAATAATAATCATTTTACCAAAGGTTATAGATTTTAAAGGTTTTTAGATTTTACTGCATAGCAGTTAAACCATTATAACTAAAAATGAAAAAATGCATTTTAACAAGATTTTTTAATTAAATTTTTTTTTTATTGTTATAATTATAATAAAATTACAAGTTATTTGAAAATTTTGACATAATTTCACTCCATTTGAAACCAAGGTCTTCTTAAACAGGCCACGGCAGCTCATTTTCCGTAAAATTAGCATAGGCTGACTTTTTACGGAAAAGTAAAGTTTCAAAGAGGGTTTTGGTTGTTTGATTTAAACTGTTAAAAATTTTGTTTCAGTTAGTAAATATTGTGTTTATGGTTGCTCCTCAAATAACAAATCAAAAATTAAAGATAATTATGTCACAATGTATAGATTTCCATTTTAAATCTGACAATCGCAAGTTTTAAATCTTTTTTAAACAAGGGAATTATTAAATATAATTCTCAACTAGAGAATGCAGTTAGTTATGTTATTAATAATGAAAGAGATTCTAAGTGAGCAAGTTATATTAAGCATCAAATAGCTTTATTAAATAAAACAATATTTTCTTTAAAAGACATTTCAGATACATTGCATCTTTATTCAAAATCTTAATCAGTATATTTTGATCTTGTAGAGAAGTTTTGCCAAGTGTACAAGAGTTACAACGAGTGACAAACAAAGTGAAAAAAATTGAATATATAAAAATGATATTTATTTTCAGGAATTTCAAAAATACTGCTTTATCTTGGCTGATGAGGTGTACATAAAATCTAGACTACAATACCAATTGACCATTAAAATGTTGGATTAGATCTTCATATCTGAAAAAATTATTTCATTACATAAAAATAGTTTTTTGCAGATATAAATGCATAAAAACTATTGTTTTTAAGCTGAAAATAAAAAAAGTCAATATTTTTTTAGACATGTTTTTTTATGTAAATTGATTATTATTTTTGAAGTTTTTATATAATTTTGCTTCTTTTGAGTACCAGGTTGACATACTTAAGAATAACTTATTTTTAAAAAATATTAGGGACCCTTATAATTTTTAAGGGTCTTGAGCTACCCCTAAAATTATTTTTTGTTCCAAATAATTATAAACCTAGTGTTTTAGTATTATATAGAACAAATTAAAGAGTTCAGAGCAGGTTTTTCTCAAAAAAGTTGTTTTAAGAACCACCCTAATATATATATACTAGCAGTAAGCAACCCGTAATACGGGTTATTAGTAATTAAATAATTGCTTACGGTTACCAACAAAAAAGACTACGTTAACATCCGTAAAGTTCTTTTTAAGATCTGTTACAACACAGCAGGTACCATAAAAAGAAAGTCAAGTAAAGCCTTCCAATGCCTAAAAAAAGGAACGAAAAATAATTACAAAGTATTATATGCATTTTATTGTTGATAGAATGAAGATATAACGACTTAAAAAAATTGCTGTAATAGCCCAGTTCTATCAACACAAAACACATTAACAATAGCGCATAGCATAAGATATTTGTAAGCACACATTACTATGGCTCTCCAAAATGATTAAAAAAGAAAAGATTATGTAAAGGCTAGACAACTTAACGTAGTAAATAACGTAATAACGTATAACACCACAACTTAAATTATTTTATCAACTAAAATACTTGAGCTAAAAAGATTTTATTGATTACAATATTGAACAATTTTATCATAAAATACCAAGCAGCTCATAAAATTTTTTATATACATGGTCGTTATCAATTGTGGCATTAATAAAACTTATATAATTACTTTTTTTTAAACTAAAAAGTAATTATATAAGTTTTATTGATGTTCCATGCACTAACTCTCTTTCAACTCTTATCTAAGAGTAAACAAAATTATTTTTACCTTTATTATGTAAAGCTCCAGCTTCTCTTTAACTGTCAACTAATGATTAATAGAGTAAATTTCATATCATTAAATTTACAAAATTAAAACCATGTTTCAACAGTAAGCAAACTAATCAAGTGATAACAAAGGCAACTAAAAAAAAAAAAGAACATAATTACGTTTGAATTTATAAAAAAATTTAAAATCATTTAAATTTAAAACTATTTGATTTAAATTGTTTTAAAGTGTTTAAAATAAAATCAAATAAACACACATTAACACCGCTTGACATTGAATTCTGGCAAGTAAGTTTTCTGCTCACCGAGCAGCATTTCTTATATTTCAACAACTTTTTTTTTAATGTTATTTTAGGTGCTCCAAGAAGTCCTCAAGGTCTTATCACAGAGCACTGTGGATAAGCATTTAATAGAAAGTTCACGCCTCCTTAAATTTTTATTTTTATTTTTCGATTAAAAGTTGTCTATCAAAAATAAAAATTTATTTACATCAATAAATTGTAATTTAACAAAGAATCTAGACAACAATACATAATCTAAAAGTGTAAAAAATGAAGTAATATCACTCAATATATTTTACTCCAAAGTAATTAAAAAAAACCTATTAAATCTAATGAAAATATTAAGTAAAAAAATATAGCAAACTTACTAAAATCAGTACCAGTTCTACTGCCTAAAAACTTTTATTATTAATCCTTCTAATAGTAATAAAAAAATAACAACAAAGTGACCTGAAGTTACTAAAAATCACTTCACCTATTTTTTTTGTTTAGGTTAATTGTCCAACTAAAAGTCTATAACTGTAATACTGAGATAATGTAACGTGATTTCTAATCAATGTAGCACGTTCAGGGTTGTAAACCAATTGATTATGCCAACCAGCATCACCCCTTAGAAAAAATAAAGAACAAACCATAGGCTCTAATTTGGCAGACATACTTGATATATTTTAAGAGGATGACCTCTTGGGAAAACAACAACTTCACTGGAAGTAGGTGGAGCACTATCTTCACCAAAAAATGCAACTTCATTATGTGAACGGAGATTATAGTGACATCTATCTTGCCCTTTTTTCTCCCTATTTCAGTTCAAAGTACATGTTGCTTGCCTAGCAGGATATCTAGCATTTGGTTGATTATTAATTTCATCCTGCCTCAGCCTATTTCTTGCATTTCTGTGACGACTATTTTCAACTTGCCTAATCAAACTGTCCTCATTTTGATTTAAATTATTCGTGGCTTGCCATGCAGCATATCTAGCATTGTGTTGATTATTAATTTTATCCCGCCTCAGCCCATTTCTTGCATTTCTGCGACGATTATTTTTCAACTTGCTTAATAACATTTCCATCATTTTCTAAACTAATAGCCACTTCTAGCCTTATATTATCCATTTAAACTTCACTTTTAATTGATAGTAGTAACAAAAAATCTTAAAAGAATCTTGAAGATTGTGATTTTTTTTTTACTTCTCTAAATTGCACACACACAAAGAATAATTTTTAAAACATTACATAGGAAATTTTCATTTAAAATAAACCAAATTATAACAACAATATTGTGAGTTTTTTATAAAAACATTTTTATAAATATATCCGTTAAAAGATGTTTAAACAAAAAATAAACTTATAAATATAATGTAAATATAATGTAAAAAAAAAGTTAACCAATAGTAATAAAAAAAAAATAATAATAAAAAATTTAATGATAAAGGGTACTGTTAATACAAAAAAAAGAAGACAAAAAATAAAAAGTAAAGTATTTGTAAACCCCTTTTAGTAAACTTTAATACTATTTCTATAAAAAAATTGTATAAAAACATGCAAATAATTTAACCTTCACAAACAATGACTGTTCAAAAGTTGTAGTTTAATTCATTTTTCTAAATTCTAAAAGTAAAAAAAAATTTAACAGCATCACTGAAATGCCAACAATATAATAAGCAACATGACAAAGTTTATCAAAGATTAATTATCTGCTTTTTTATTACTTAATCTTTTTTCCAATATTTTATATTATTTATTACACATTAAAATCAGAAGATTAAATTTATTAAAGCTTAACATAAGTTAAAAGCTATAAACACTAAATTATTAAATTCAAAACAATCAAAAGAAATAAAATCTGCTGGAAATCAACTAATTAGTTTTAAATTATAACTTAAAAATATTACAAATTTAAATGCGGTTTTTGTTATAATTAATAAATTGCTGCAGTACATTTTTTCAAAAATGATTAACTGATATGGTATATATTCGAAGCAATATAATAGCCATGTAATATTGTGAATCAAAAATTAAAGTTATAAAAACTATAAATAATAATCTAAACAAATACTAAAAAAATAAAAAAAAACATTTTAGAATATATATATTTTTTTAATGAAAATAAAAACCAAGGAAAAAACAGCAAAAAAAAAATTATTATTAAAAAAATTAATATTAAAAAAGTTAATATCTTCACTGATTGAATATATTAAAAAATTTTTTGTTGCTATTTTTTACTTGGTGCCTCCCAGCACCCCTGTATGGATGAGCCCTCCATTTAAAAGAGGGCTATTCCATACCATTATTACTGCAACATTTGTTAAAGGACCTCTCAGAGTGGTCCTGGGTGCTGGGAGCAATATAGCTCCAATTTCGATCTAAAGAAAAAATAATAATATAATAAAAAATAGATATTTGCATTAAAAATAATAAAATGAAAACTCCTAATATAGAAAAATTAAAAAAAAAAAAAAACGTAGTAAAACCCTTTTAAGCAAACTTCAATATTATTTATTTGAAAAAAATATTAGTAAATATTTTTAAAAAATTCACTAAACTTAACAATATTTTGTTCTTCTATACCACATAAATACATCATTTGATAAATAAAAAAATGTAACAAATAAGTAAATAAGAAAAAAATTACATACAAAAAAATGAAATCATTGTACCTGATAAAGCTGATGTGATTTACCAGAGTAGTAGTAGTAGTAGTAGGCTTTTAGTGAATCTAAATATTAATTTTAGTGAATGATTAAATGCAGTGAGGTCTAATAATGAAATTAACTATGTATCATTTTTAACAGTAGACAACAACTTGAAGGTAAACCAAATGTATATCAACTCAAAAGATTACAAAAAAGCAACATCACAACAACAATAGCATTTACCATAAGTTCATATAATATGCATATATCAGTAACAACATTACGCAAAATGTTATTAAAATACATTATGTATTTTCAGAGTAATTATTAATAAAGGCTTGAAAACACCTAGACCTAAAGCAGTAACAGTTTGAAACGAAACACTGCTTTGTAACCCTTTGCAGTAAGTGACTTGGCTGGCAAGGTTGACAAATCTTGCTTAACACGTTTACCAATTTGAAAACATATATAAACATATTTATACACTTTTATAAAACAATTATATAACTTATATTAACACATACTCAAACAATAAAAAAACGTGTTACATTATTATAAAAACACATTGATAAAAAAGCTATAAAGCACATTTTACAATATACACATAATTATCAAAAAAGCAATGCAAACAATAAACATATAACTTGAATTGTGCAAACAAAAATTTTAAAAATGGCATGAAAAAATTTTAAAAGATTCAAAGTAAACAAAATATAAATATTTATATACAAACAATACTCTTTACCTTTTTCTTTCATAAGAACTGTAGTTCTCATAACAAAAATTTAATCTTTACATACAATAACATGTGACATGTCAGTAGTGGCACGAAATTTCAATTTATTTTTCTAAATTTTCTAAAAAAGAGCAAAAACAGTTAATAGCATCACAGAAATTTCATGGTAGTAATAACCAATTTTATTGAAATTAGTATAACTTTTTTGTTGCATTAGTATAACTTTTTTGTTACATAAAAAAATAATTAGACCTCATCCTTACTTCTATCTTCCTTTTAAAAAATAGAAGATATGCTCAATAAAAACTGCTAGAAAAAAATAAAGTTAAAAGAAAAACTAAAACAAACAAAATGTAAACGATTTAAAAAATTAAAAGAAGTGATCCTTTTTATTTTATTTTTAATAAAAAATATTATATATAAATTGCGAAACTATTTTCAATGCTTATATGATCTTAACGATGATTATTATAATATGATCTTAACGATGATTATTTATCTTAATATGATTCTTTATGTAATATTTCTAAAATTATCTTAATATTAATTCAATTCTAAAGGTAAAAAGTTTTAACTACCTCTAATAACCGCGTGCATTTTGAGAACGCGCTGTTTCAAAATGCAGTGAAGCCTAGTAACTAATTAAAACTGCTTTAAAAAGGAAAGAGAAACGACATTGAACATTGAATTTTTACAGTATTCATATTTAGATATATATATATATATATATATATATATATATATATATATATATATATATATATATATATATATATATATATATATATATATATATATATATATAGAAATATATATATGTCTTAGGGTTGTTAACCGGAGGATTTCGTGGAGATTGAGAACGAGGAATTACATTTTTTCGTACTGAATGTTCCAAAACATTTAAAATCGCCGATGTTCATTTTGCAAAAGCCACTTCCAAAATTTAGCATTTCGCAAGTTGACATACGAAACAAAACTATTTTGCTACATATGAAAGTAGCGGTTTCGGAAGTCGCACTTGCAAAACAAACATTTTCGCCAAACAACGTTTTGAAGTCTATAAAGAAAATTTATTTGCCAGACTGATTTTAATTGTAAAAATTAACACCTTTAAATCCCAAAATATTTATAATGAATTTTTATTTTTAGTATAATAACATATTAAATTTTTATGTTTTTATTTTTAGAAATATTGATAAAAAATAAAATTTCTTTCGAAACGAAAGTATTTCGGATCACAACATTCGAAAGAATTCTTAACGGAAATAAACTTACAAAACGTGCCATAATAAATATATATAACGATGTTTTTTGAACTCATTACGTATATTAGAAATAAGAATGATGGGTAGGAATATACATATTTTTTTTTTAAAGCATATGAAATTTTTGAAACAAGTTCTAATATGCTTAAGTAAATAGTAAAAAGAGGCTCAAAAATATGCTTTAGCTTAAGCATATTTCTGATAAAATATACCTATTTCAATAATTTCTAAAAGTGTGCAAGTTACTAAAGTTCTAGCAGATTTTAAAGGTTTGTAGAGTCCTGTTTGAATACGCTTTTTGAAGTATAGATCTTAGAAAATATTGTTTTTTAATTTTAATTCGATATAAATTTAAGTATAAGATCGTAGCTCAATCAGTTAGATACGTGATAATTTGCCGCAGAGATCCGGGTTAACATCCTGCAGCTATTGTAACTTTTGTTCATTAAACTCTTTTTACTTAAGATAGCATTTTTTGACCTCCATGTTCTATATTACAGATCTTTCGTCACCTTCATAATAGTGACAACCTCTCTTCTGTTAGTTATTCTTTTAAGACTGAGTTCATTGTGCTTAATTTAACACGTTTTCCTTGCTTTACTAAGTTCTACTTAAATTATGATGAAATGTACGTAAAACAACTTTTTCAAATAATATAAATCATTTTGCTTTAAATCTTGTGCTTTTTGTACTAGACATCTGTCCTAAACACTTTGTAATAATTTCTAGCTAACTCTGAGTCTAATATAATCATTTCTGAATATAATTTCCCTGAGGCTTCTACAGCCTATTGTGTTCCATTAAAAGTAACTAGTTTTCGAGTCCAGATATTAATTATAAGCAACTAAAGGTTCACATTACTATTCATTTTCCTGATATATAGAATCCTATTTGCATACGTATCTCTTTCTGTAAATTCTGTTTTATATAGTTTCTTAATTATATAATAAATAAATATTACTATTCACTTAGTTGAATGAACGTATAGCTCATTCAGTTAAGACATTTGGCCGCGGAGACCCAGGTTCACATCCCGCTGTTTCACATATATTTATTCTCTTTTTACTCTTTCTGATATCATTTACCTTTAGAGAGGTCTCTCGTTCTTTATAATAAAGTATTTAATTGTTTATCACACATCCTCTTTATACTTTTTAAAAAGAAAGGCATACTATTTATCTGTTCATTGAGAGTCCAACTTAACGGGATTTTACTGTATATATATATATATAAATATATACATATAATATTAAATCCCGTTAAGTTAAGTTTATATATATATTTATATATATATATATATATATATATATATATATATATATATATATATATATATATATATATATATATATATATATATATATACATATATATATATATTAGGTATATTTGTATAAACATTTGAAGAATCATTTGACAACATTTTTTTATAATTTTATTATTTATTATTTAAACTGTTAACAGTTAATATCTTAAATATATTGTAACATAAAATCTTTTGCGTCTTTTTCATAACTGCACATTCCGGAATGCTTTTTCCGTAAGGAACTATTTTGTAAGTATTCTTACGAAATGATTTGTTTTGCAAGTTTTCTTTCGCAATGCTTTATTACAGAATTTTATTTATTTATATTTTCGTATAGCGCGTTACGGAATGTGCATTTTTGCATGTGCAACTTCCGCAATAACAGTTCTATTACGGTAGATGAAGATGCAAAATTTTCGCATATATATATATATTTATATATATATATACATATATATATATATATATATATATATATATATATATATATATATATATATATATATATATATATATGTATATATATATAAATATACATATATATATATATATATATATATATATATATATATATATATATATATATATATATGTATATATATATATATATATATATATATATATATATATATATATATATATATATATATATATATATAAATATATTCAAAATATTGTACTATGAAAATGTAGTATAAATGTTAAAAAAAGATAATTAATGGTTAAAAAATTTAGAATGTGTCTACTGGTTCAAGCACACTTCACAGTATGATGACTCCTCATGGTCCTGCTGCAAGTGTCTTTGAGAAAGAGTTAGAACGAAAAACTGTACCTGAGCGAGTAGCTGAAGGCTCTTTGGTAAATTTTTCATTCTTTAAAATTTTTTTTAATGTTTTAAATCGCTGTAAAAACTGGTAATTTTTTTCAGTTTTAGAAGCTGGTAATTTTTTTCAGTTTCAAACAGGCATAATTTAATATTTGAAAATGCAATTAAGAATAGTAATAATTGTTTATGTTTGTTGTTAAACTTTATTAGAAAACTTAAACATAGAAGTTTTACAGGAGCCTCAGTTTTTATTTATTAAAGACACATAGAAAATTGTATGCGTCATTGGTAACCTGGTGTTTTTAAAAAACTGAAACATTACAACAGAAACTTTATTATCTGGTTATTCTTCTGAAATAAAAATTATTTTTACAAATTTTTTGTCTGGACTCGTTTTAGAAAGATTAACGGGGGTGTGGTAAAATAGCTGTAAAACTTTAAGTTTTCTTATTACCCTAATATTATGTATTTTTAACTTTTTATTACTTTTAAAATTTATAATTTTAATAAAATGGTTTATTTTAAATATAAAGTTAGAATTTTGAATTATGTTCTTGATAAAAAAATATTTTTTAAACCCCTTATTGTTTAAAAAAAGTAAATGTCGCCACGTGGCAAGTTCAAATCATCAGCTTGCTTTTTTTTTTTTAATATTTGTTATTTAAAATGCAAAACAAAACAACTTTCTTTCTTTCAAAACAAACTTTTTCCTTCAAGAGCGTTTTACTTTGAATTTTAGAAAAATCGAAAAAGATTAAATTTAAAAAAAAAAAAAATCAAATGGTAGGAATCAAACCTGGAGCTCCTGCCTCAAAGCGATGCGTGCTAACCACTTGTCTACGCAGACTTGTTATTTAATACAATATTAAAAGTATATAAGATATTAAAAACTTTATCAAATGGAATTAAGTGCTACAGATCAAATCTTAAGGAGATGTTGCCGCAATGCAATTTTCAAGTGAAAGTAAAACTGAAAAACTTGATATATGTTTTAGTATGTTTTTAACATTACATAATTTGAAGAAAGTTAAATATTTGGGTAAGTTAGATATTAGCATACACTTTCGTTGATATTTCTCACTATTACCTCGGTTGCAATGGCTGCCAAGAGTATCGTGTCAAACAGGCTCGAAAGAGCACTACTACTACTACTACTACTACTACTACTACTACTACTACTACTACTACTACTACTAATACTACTACTACTACTACTAATACTACTACTACTACTAATACTACTAATACTACTAATAATACTAATACTATTACTTCTACTCTACTAGTATTAGTATTAGTATTATTATTACTCTACTATCAATTTATACTCTACAATTCAATTAGATTTATCATTATCTGAAACAAATTTAGAGAAATTAAAAATTAAAAAGTTTAAAGAAATTTAAATTTATTTTTATGCCTTCGAGATATTGGGTGTCTTATTGCTAATTGTAAACTTTGTTATTACTTTATTTAACTAAAACAAACTTTACTGTTCAACAATTTTACCTTATAATATTCCTTAAAAAAATTCAATTTTTTTTGTTAGTAGCAAAAAAATTGATCAAATAATATGAATTTTAATAAAATGAAATGTTTTACAACTTAACTACAGCATTTTGGTTTGGCACTTTAACATGTTCGCTGCCAAGCTATTTTTAGCTATGCTTTAATACTTTGCCAAGCCATAATCTCTGCAATGATTAATTTTTGCCAAGGTTGTTTTGCGTGGTTTCATTCTCATTGCCAAGGCTAGGTATCAACATTTTAACAAATAAAATATTTTTAATCTAAAATAATTCTATAGTATTTTTTATTCTGAATATAACTGACAAAAAATAAGCACTACGACTATACTCGTACTTTGGCAATGGAGAAGTAATTTTTTTTCTCCAGTGCCGAAGTACGAGTTTACTTGTAACATCGTAATGAGTATAACTCATTGCGGTGACTAGTAATGTAGCTTATTTGATGCATTAAGCATCCACATTTTATTGTGTACTTCAAATTTTATTGTGTACTTCAAGTTAGTAATGTCACCGCAATGAGTATAAATCATTGCAGTGACATTACTAGTCACCACAATGAGTATAACTTATTGCGGTGACTAGTAATGTCACTGCAATGAGTTATGTAAACTAGTAATGTCACTGCAATGAGTATACTCATTCTAGAGAGTAACTAGTAATGTCACTGCAATGAGTATACTCATTGCGGTGACATTACTAGTTACTACTTCAACTAATATTTGATGCATTATTATTATAAATAGTGTTTCAATTTTTTTGCACAAGCACATTGGCAGTTATTATGAGTAAAAAAGGTAATTTATTTTATTCTTAATTCTAAATTGTTGTATTTTTTAGACTAGAAGCTAAAATATATTTTATAACAACATTATACTGCGTGTTATTAATAGTGTGAAAAAAAATTTGAAGTACACAATAAAATGTTTTTTAATTTATTAAAAAACATTTTAGTGTGCACTTCAAATTTTTTACACAGAATACTAATTAATGTGTTTTATAGATAAGTAATTTCCTTTTTATAAATAGATAACTTATAAATTTATCTATATCATATTAGCTCAACACACAGATATTCTACAATTGAATCAGCACATATGATTATGGAAGATTGTGAGGATAGTAAAGATGATGATATTAAAGATTTGGATTCATTTTTTGCTTATACTACTACATCTTCAAGCTGGAATACATCAGAATCAAGTTCTGAAAATAATAACACTGAAGAAAGTGATGACAATCAGTTAATAGACGTTCATCTAGCAGCCACTGCAGAAGATTTTTTAATGCCACCAAAAAGAGCTAGAACAACGAGTGGTCTTGTTTATAGACAAAATCAAAACTAAGCTCAACAAGTAGATCTTATAAGAAATATTTTGCCTGACGAAACAACTTCTGAAACAAATCCATCTAGAAACTCAAACCAATGGAAAAATGAGCCAAATATTGTAAAACAAATTTAATTTACTGCCAATCCTAGTTTGAAGATAAATATGGAGAGCAAGAAACCATTAGATTTTTTTAAACAATTTGTTACAGAAGAGCTTATAAATACTATGGTAGTTGAAACTAATCGCTATGCAATGCAAGAAATAAATAAGCAGCATCCGCTTAGAAGAAGCTCACATTTTAAAGATTGGATTTCAATAAATTCAGAAGATATGCGGCAGTTCTTTGGAGTTTTTCATATTGGGTGTGTCAAAATGCCATCTTTAGAACACTACTGGTCTAAGAGCAGTCTTTATAGATTTCCTATATTTTCTAGAATAACGCCACGAAATAAATTCCAACTAATGTTACAGTTTTGGCATTTTATCAACAATGACGTTTCGGGTATTGGACGCTTGTATAAAATTATTGGACTTCTTGATCACTTAAATAATACAATGGATAATATCTACTGTCCTGATAAAAATATATCAATTGATGAATCAATGATGCTTTGGAAGGGGCGTCTTGTATTTAGGCAGTATGTGAAAAATAAAAGTATGGTATCAAGTTCTATGAGCTTTGCAAATTAGATGGTATTGTACTAAAAGTAAAAATCTACTCTGACGAGGCAACTCTCGATAAACATTTGTTGGGTCAAACAGGAGCTATTGTTTTGGATTTAATGGAAAAAATTTTGGGTAAAGGTTATCACCTGTACACCGATAACTTTTACAATTCCTTTGAACTAACAAAGCACATGATTTTTCAAAAAATATACATTTTTGGTACTTTAAGAACTGACCGAAAGTTAAATCCAAAAGAATGTACGAAAGCAAAACTGAAACAGGAAGACGTTATAAGAAGAAGCAGAGAGGGTGTAGTGGTTGCTAAATGGAAAGACAAAAGAGACGTGCTAATGATTAGCAACTTGCATTCGTTGTAAATGATTGAAGTGACAAACAGGAGAGGAGACAAGAAAATGAAACCCAACATTAAAGATTACCATCAATGTATGTCAGGAGTAGATAGGGTGGATCAAATGGTATCATATTATGATTGCCTAAGAAAGACAATTAGATAGTATAAAAAAGTAGCACTTCATTTCTTTGATATTTTTTGTTTAATGCTTACTGTCTAAGCAGCGAATATGGAGTAGATAAAACAATTTCCTTGCTTAAGTTTAGAGAAATAGTTTTTACGGATTTATTGGGTGAACGTTTAAATGAATTTGTGCCTCGAATAACCAATAATAGCTTCCACTACTTGTCTTAAATACCACTGATTGAAAAGAAAAAATTCCCAACAAAACCATGTCGAGTCTGCTCTAAAATAAAACGTAAAGAAACACGATATGAGTGTGTTGTTTGTGAAAATAAACCTCCATTATGTATTGGCAAATGTTTCAGAATGTATCATTCAAAAGAATAGGTTTACACTTTAATTTTCATGAAATAAAATTAAAACAATATCAATATTTTACTTTTATCTGTTTTAAGTTATTTCTGTCTTTATCCGCATTTAAATTCGGTTTCTGGGATTTATAAAATAAAAACTTAAATGTAAAAACTGAAATTCTGAAATCAAATGTGAAACTAAGAAAAAATATTTATAAGAACAGACAAAGCCAGTCATGTCACAAATTTGAAACAAGTTAGTATAACTACAAGTTTACTCGTAGTTGACTCTTGACGTCGGCTTACTATGAGTATTCTCGTAGTTGGCAAATATCAAAATCCCGCTAACTACGAGTATACTCGTTGTTGGCAAGTAAATGACGCAAACATACTACGAATATTCTCGTAGTTGGCAGCGAACAGGTTAAAATAATGATATTTAGATACTTCTTTGATTTTCTTTTTCTTTTTTCAAAACTTTATTTAAACCAAAAGTTGTTTATTTTAATTTTTAAATTATTTGTGACTGTTGTCAAATAATTGGCTGTTGAAATTGCACATGTTCTATTAAATTTTTTCTCATGATACCTTTTATTGTCCTAATCTTTAATCTTATCTACTAAAAATATGAGGCCTGAAGTCAGGAGGAAGAAGTTTTTTAAAAATTGCATTTATAGACAA